TCCACACAGACCACAGTGACCCTCAGTGGCATGGAAGCATGGAATTCCTGGATTAGAGAAACTTTGATTTTAAGTATTTTTCATATAAAAAATAGTTTGGAGCTCATCTTCTGTCTTCGCTTGCCTTTAGGTTTACAAACATTCCTAAGCCCAGCACACTGGGCCTTCCAAAGTCAGTCTGTAACAACTAACCCTATGAACAGCTTGCACATTTGAAGTTAGGTTTCAGGCCACTTTAGTTACGAAAGTTGCAGATATTCTGGGGTTAATATTTCCTGCCTTAAAAGCCCCAGATTTTACTCATTTAATAGACAAGAAGGCTTGGCAGCTTTCCTCAGTGCCAGCGGCATTCATTCTAATTGTGTGAGACTAGCGCAAGAGTGAATCCTTCCCTTTGTCCTTGCTGCCCAAAGGCTGGACATGCTGCCTAAGCATCACCTGGGAGCTGTGAAAAATGAATCCAGGGGCTTCACCCCAAATCAATTGAATCAAACTCTGTGTTTCACAGACAACCCTGAGGACACACAGGAATGTGCAAGTCTAGGAGACAACTGATAGTGATTGGGGAGCACCATTTCTCCTTTTGTCCCACTGTCCTGTGCCCCCCACTTGGCTCTTAGACACATCAACACCTCGCGCCGCCCAGGCTTCTCCCACACACACTGGGACCCGCATAGCCCCCATCTTCCATCAGAAGGAGCTTGAAGGGATCCGCCCTGATTGGCAAACCATTTGGTACCTCGGCTCTACCAAATTTGAGGGGTATTTTTCTCCTAATCCTTTTCATCCTTTCATGAAGTTCTCAAATGGATAATAAACAGGATGGAAGGTAGCCAGATGGTTTATGAATGGAAGTTTCTCCCTCAGGCTTGTGTTCTGTCTCCTTAACTATAAGTAAGGGGCCAAGCAGTACTGTATAATTACTTTTGTTTATGAAGTAACACACACCTGAGAGCTAACTTTCCTTCCCTGAAACAAGATGAAAAGGAAATAGTAGCTCCTAGCCTGTTCTTATGGGTGCCCGCAGCACCTGAGGGTCTACAAGGACCCTGAGGCAGGCTGCGTTCCGAGCATCAGGTGCCAGCACTCCCACAACAGAGCTCCAGGGACAGCATATTTTCTCTTGAGATGTAGTACCAGATTCGCAGACATTTCAGTTAACCCTTTGTCTTGACTGCATCTAGTCTACTTCATAAAAAGTCTACATTTCGGGCCCTCCCTGGTGGCGCAGCGGGTTAAAGCACTGCACTGGGAAGCTTGAGCCGCTTCCGCATGAGTTCGATCCCCGCCTGCCCCGGAAGTGACCCATGGCGCGGCAGACCTCTCCTGACCCGCCTGCTGCTCCCCTCAGAAGTGTACTAAGTTGATCTGCCTGTTCTGCTCCCCACTATGTTCCTGGTGAATCCTCTACCCTCCGCATCTCTAGCCTGTACCCCAGTTCTGTATGAATAAATAAATAAATCTTTTAAAAAAAGAAAAAGAAAAAAGTATACATTTCACGTCTGGAATGACACAGCTCTTTCCCAGCCAACACTGTCAAATATCAAGAAATAAAAGTAGTTAAGGATTATGTAAGTATTAAGAAAAGTAGCAACCTAAGCCATCTTAATTATTTTTTGAAGTGAGTTTAGTTGCGGAGCTAAAACAGGTAGAAAAGTCAGATTATGCCTTATGATTATCCTACCGCACCCAGTCAGTTTCAGTAGCTTTTTCTGTTGCTTTCAATTCTTCCAGTAAGATGCTACTTTTTTTCCTGCCCAATGGGGAAAAAACCATGGTCATTTCTAAACCTTGAATATTACTAGATAAGTCAGAGGAAACCAGGAGAATGGACAAAAACACACAGGAAATGAGGTGTAAAGTAATCACAGATAATTACTATTTTTCTAACCTGATCCTTTCGTACTAGCTTTATATTTCCTCACTGCTTCTTAAGGTTGGGTGGTGTGGAGCAAACAGGTTGAAGTGCCTACAGGAGTACCTGTTTCTTTTTCCATATTTCCATGCCCTCTTTTTCATGACAAAAGAAAGACCCATGAAAGAGAAACATTGAGCTCTCTGGGGAATGTATCATAGAAAATAGACTGCTACCCCTCCACCTTGTGAGTTGAGAGTGGGTTTTATTAAATGTTCCTAAATCCCAGCACCTACCTGAACACACAGATGGGCATGCTGAGAAGCTGGGTCAGTCATTGTGGCCATTTTGGGCTTCAGGTCTAAATACGCTGGAACTACAGCAAAGCCGGCTATGTGGCCAGCGTGAGCATCAGTGCCAGTGTTTGATAAATGGTTTCTACACCATCAGAGGCGGTTTTCCTGTGAACACTAAGTGTAGGAACCAGAGAAAAGTTTAGACATGTGCCATCATCCCCAAGTGCCATTTTGAAATTGGAAATAACTCAGTCATTCCTAGCACCTCAGTAACATATGATTTCATCCCTTTCTGTTTATTTTTTATTTGTATCTTATACATCATTGTGTATTCCCCAATAAATACACCAGTTCATCTGTGAACCATCTCCTGTTTTGATGCCTTTTCTTCCCCTCCCTCAGAATATCTCTGATTGATGGTTGGCTGCTAATTTTGTTGCTGTTGTTGTTAATTTTTTCTGGATCCCTTATTTTGTTCCCCTCTATTCCTCTTATAAGTGAAACCATCCAATACTTTCTTTCCTTTTCCTTCTGGCTTATTTCACTAAGCATTATCCCTCCTAGCTCCATTCATGTTGTCACAAATGGCATGAGTATCTTTTTGACTGCTGAAGTATATATGTGTGTGTGTGTGTGTGTATGTGTGCATTTATATATATATATATTATAATATATATTAATATATATGTATATATGTGTGTGTGTGTGTGTATACCCCATTTTCTTTATCCACTCATCTACCTACTTTTGGGCATTTGGGTTACTTCCAATCTTCCCTATTGTAAATAATGCTGCAGTAAACAAAGGGGCGCAAGTATTACGACATAATCTTAAAAGCACTGTGCAAAGTTTTGTTAAGCAACTCAGGTCCCACATGAGGAGACAAGCCCCAGAAGGGCCCATGCCCACTAGCCCATCTTCCTACTTGCTACATTTTCTGGGGTCCATAGGTACAAAGTTAGTGAGCACAGATCTCAGTCCTATTCTTAATTATGTCCCAGACCTCTACCATGGTCCCCTCTGTGGATACATTTGGAAGATCCAGGGGTAAGTATTGGAGATATGACATTCGTACAGGAGGGACACAGCTGTCTCGGAGGCAACCCTCTCTCAAACTTCCCAAGTATGAGAACCATGGTTACCTCCAAGTGCAGGCTCTGTTCTCAATTCCCTTGGTAAAAGGGGGCAGACTGTGTTCCAGCCTGAGGAGGGCTCTTTAATCTTGCCAGTGATGTGGACCAAGGGCGATATAGGAGCAGATATAGAGGTTCCAGCACGAAATTGTTGCTCCTCTTGTGATATTTCATATATATATATATATTTTTAAGTCAGGAGAAGAGGTGGTTTTTAATAGACCTGCACAATTAAAGGACATTATTATGTAGGAACTGCCTTGAGACTTCTCAGTTCTTGCATAGGAAAATATTTTTATTAGAACAAATTCTTCTGCAGATTCCTAAAATTGTCTCTAACAAAACATGAGATGGGTTGCATATCGAGATGAGAATTTTTGAAGAAGAAATATCAGCCCCCTGCCCAAGTTTGTGACTAATAGACACTTGACTTTCTTACCATGGGGGCAGAGCATCTTCTAGTGATATCACTTTATTTATTTTGTCAGTTATTCATAATTATTTGACGTTAGTTGATTACAGTACTCTCTTATTATTTGTAACTATAACCAAAAATGCAGTTTCTTTATAATGCTGTGCTTATAAATGTTGTCAGAGAGCAATAGGGGGAGAAGTGCAGAGACAAATGTTGCATTATGCTGTGTATTAAATAGAAAGACTCCTTATAGACTTACACTGGGAGTATTGAGAAGTCAGTCATTATGCTGGTTTTCTTTGGGAAGGAGGTAAAGTCAAGTTGCTCAGAAAGCTATGAATTCCCATGAATGCTCAAGTATTGTACACTCTGTCTACAAAGTAAAATATTTAGGTATCATTGACATGATTTTGTTGTTAATACTGGAGTGAGTTTGTAAAAATTATTACTACAAAGAATCTTTTGCTTTCTTTTCATTAGCCATGGGAAATTACAGCACATTTATAAGCAAATTTACATATACAGTTAATTTAGAACTATTTTTACGTTTTTTTAATTAAAAGTAAGCTTGTGTCTAATGGGATGAACTTCATACGCATTTTTGGTTGCAGGAGAAAGTGTTTTTAAATACATTGGCTGAGAAAAAATACCATAAACATGGTGGCTTTTATTTTTATATACACTGAAATTAATGTTATCTGTCAGTTTACTTCATTAATCAGCTTTTCTGCCACTCCCATTTCATGCTCATCCTCTCAGTTATTGAAGAGTTAAAAACGTGCATGTCTCAAGTGTTATTCAAAGATTGCTTGTGAAGAGTCAAAACTTTGCTACATGCAAACGAGACAGTATATAATTCACTCATACCGTAACCTAAAGCAGACGAGGGGTTGTTAGGATCCAGTGGCATGTAAAGACGAGGGTCTCCTGCTTTGCCGAGCTTTAGTTTCTGCATCCATCCAGCGTTTTCTGGGTTGCTATATAAGTAATGACATCGGGCGGGATCGGGAGGCGGTGCTCGGCAATCGTGCGGCAGCTGGGAGTTCACGCGTGGGAAATCTCAGCCCCTTTCTTTCTTCCAAGCACCCGCGGCCGACCGTCCCGCTCCGCGGCGCAGCCTCGGGAGCCAGGTGCAGGTGGTCCTGCTCCTGTAAACCCGGAATCGCCGCCTCGAAATGGCTGGGGCTCCCCGGCCGGCGGTCGGCAGCAGAGGCGGGGGGCGCGCCGCTGGGTTTCTCTGTTGCTACAGCCGTGATGTCACTCGCCCATCCTAACCCGCGGTTGGTTGTTTTGTGTTTCAGCTCTGCCTGCAGTTGAACACAAAGACCTAGAGGAGACTCCCACATCCTTCGGGGAGAAGAAAGGAGGCAGCGAAGCAGATTAAAGGAACTTGTGGCTTGTGGCCTTTTCAGTACCGGGGCTGCCTGGAAGAGGGAAAGTGAATTAAAGCCACAGTGGCAGTTAATGAGCTGTGAGATGAGGTGCTGCTGCTGCTGACAATCAGATTCCAGGCTCCGTCTGCTGTCTTTGTGCTTCGTGTACATGTGTCTATTCAGCGCATCCGGAGGCGCCCAGACGAGAATCCAACACGGCTGCCGGGGAGAGACCACCCACCATGCCCACGGAGACCCTACAGACAGGTAGCATGGTGAAACCGGTCAGCCCCGCCGGCACCTTCACCTCGGCGGTCCCCCTGCGCATCCTCAACAAAGGGCCAGACTACTTTCGCCGGCAGGCAGAACCTAACCCCAAAAGACTTAGTGCGGTGGAGAGACTGGAAGCCGATAAGGCCAAGTATGTCAAGAGTCAGGAGGTGATCAACGCCAAGCAGGAGCCGGTGAAGCCGGCCGTGCTGGCCAAGCCGCCCGTGTGTCCCGCTGCCAAGCGCGCCCTGGGCAGCCCCACGCTCAAAGTGTTCGGCAACAACGCCAAGACCGAGAGCGGCGTGCAGAGGGAGAACCTGAAACTCGAGATCCTGAAAAACATCATCAACAGCTCAGAAGGCTCCAGCTCGGGTTCGGGTCACAAGCACAGTTCTCGAAACTGGCCGCCGCACAGGCCAGATGCCACCGACCTGCACCGGCACTCCTTCGCCGAGTCCCTGAAGGTGTACCCGACGCAGGGCCGCGGCAGCCCTCAAGAAAGCAGCTCCCACGTGGGCAGGAGGCTGCTGGAGCAGTCAGCCGAGTCCTTCCTCCATGTCTCCCACAGCTCCTCGGACATCCGCAAGGTGACCAGTGTCAAGCCCTTAAAGGCAATCCCCTGCAGTAGCTCCGCCCCTCCCCTGCCTCCCAAACCCAAGGTCTCCTCCATTGCCACCATGAAGTCTCCAGAAGCAGACCCGGTGGAACCAGCTTGTGGCGTCAGCCGAAGACCCTCCCTCCAGCGGTCTAAGTCTGACTTGAGTGACAGATATTTCCGAGTGGACGCCGACGTGGAGAGGTTTTTCAACTACTGCGGACTGGACCCGGAAGAGCTGGAAAACCTTGGCATGGAAAACTTTGCAAGGGCTAACTCCGACATCATATCCCTCAACTTCCGCAGCGCAAGCATGATCAGCTCAGACTGTGAACAGTCTCAGGACAGTAACAGTGACCTTAGAAATGATGACAGTGCCAATGACCGCGTGCCATATGGCATTTCTGCCATCGAAAGAAACGCTAGAATCATCAAGTGGTTATATAGCATCAAACAAGCTAGAGAGTCACAGAAGGTCTCCCACGTGTAAGCGAAAGTGTGTGCAGAGGAGGGAGGGGTGGGTCTCTGTGCATCAGCAGTTGTGAAGGTTGTGAGGTCTCCTTGAAGTGTTGTGAGCTTCTCCACTCTCTTTGTGTTGCTTGTTGTGCAATGTTTTCAAGTTGCATGCCTGTCAACATGGGGACTGACCTTGGCTTCCACTCAACCATCGCTGCAGAGCCTGGCCCAGTATGCCTCATCTGCCAAAAGTTTCAGGCCAGGATCTAATTAGGGCTTTGATCTTCAGCAAAACTGTTTACAGGAAAAAAACAAACAAACAAAAAAAACAAAACAAAAAAAAAAAACGGTATACAACTTATTCAATATTTATGTGTTTCTTGTGTTTTTATATTCTGCGCTATTGTGTCTTAATTAAAAGTTTTATCAACTAGCTTTTAAGTTGAGAGTAGAATCTTTTGAAATAAAAAAAGCCAATTTGCCTACATGTGAAACCGAAATAATTGGGGAAATAAGTAGGATCTGCTACCAAACAGATACAGAGACTGTCCTCAGATGAAACCATTTGGAGTATTTTGAGGTAGAAAGTGGTGAGCCTAATGTTGATCTTTTATATATTTGAAGTTCTTAGCCACTTGCTAAAGTAATGGTTGGGGCAACAATGCTACATTTTGTGTCCTATTCCGTGTGTAAATGTTGGTGGTTTGTGTAATACTGACCCCAAGGAAAGACAATCAGATACAGTGAAGGTGATTCAATCTAGGGCGCTGGGTGTTTGGGGGTTATATTGCTGTTGTTCTGATTTGTGTTGGTTCAGAAATTTCTACTATTGTTCATTTGATAAGAATGACCACCCAAAAAACTGATACTGAATGTCTTAAAAAAATTTGTTTTTTGGTCAAGAGCTAATTCCATGCTGATTCTCCCCACCCCACACACTCCATACCTCCCTCTGTTGTTGTTTTATTTGGAAGCAGGGAGTGGGGTTGTGCAGATTTGAGCTACCTGAAGACATGAACACAAATGGAAATACCAGCCATATCAGTAGTGCACCTCCATTCAAAAGTGAATGCATTCAGTAGCTGAAACCTATCTGAGCAGTGCGATTGTGATGTCTTGCCTATGTTATTCTCGCAGGCTGTAGAGCTTTACTACAGCTCTAGAAATTGTAGAAACACAATACTATGTAGCTTTTCCACCCCTTGGTCACTAGCGCTGCATACAACTTGTTCCTTTTCCCCCAATAACCTGTCTTCCAGGTGGTCTTGTTAGCTGTCAACCAGCTGACGGTTGTGGTGTGGTAGCAGAGAGGTGATTGTGCCGTGGTCTGTTCATGGCCCTTGTACTCAAGCTCTGAAGTTGTCAGCAGCACTACCTTAGACTTCATCAGCTAATAGGAAACTTTTTATGGTGTAAATGCTGTAAGACTGTACATACTTTGGTTGTTATGAAATCTTTATGAAAAAAAAGAAAAAAATTACATTAATAAATAGCTCTGGTGCAGGCACTAATGGCAGTGGTTTTTCTTTGTCCTTTCCTTTGCTTCCTACACAAAAATTTAACTCTGGACTGTGAGCCAGAAGCAGATATGTGATAGCCTTGAAGAAACATTTCATTCAGTGATTTTCACCATATCACAATTATTCTGAGCTGCAATATTCTTAATTGTAGCTAAAACAATGTGCTTTTGCTAACATAGTTTCATCAAGTTTCCTAAAATATACTATTGCTGCTTTACTTAGTTCACACTTCTGTTATTTTTATCTTTTCTTAAACATCTGAATTTTTCACAACTTCCACAAAGCCTTCAGTTGTAAATATTTATGAGCTCTACAATGAAGATATACCTTTGAGAGTTATAGCCCTGTTTTATTTGTACAAACTCAACACCATTAGCATTGCATGTGTTCATATAGTTCCCATTCATTCATTCAGTTCCCATCCAATGGAACATTTGTTGACCCACTTAAGTTTCAGGCCTCACAGTGGACACAGCCTGCTGTGGTCACCACTGCTCTATCTGGAGGAACTTAGATTTTCACATTTAAGTTGATTATCATTCCACTTAATGGAATGTCTTATCTGTCATTATAAGGACCCTGATTATTCAATGAGTATTGAGTCAAATTATTTGAAGATTAATATTTCTTCAAAGTTCCATACAAAGTAAAAGGTTTATTTAAAAAGTAATTTTCAGAAGCAAATATGATTCTCAGTTATTGCTATTCGCAGATATTTTCCTGCTGAAAATCAAATTTAGTTCCTGGGCTATCTCTGCTGGTTTTGAATTTTTACTGTTACTCTGATATTCAACTAGAGTTCAGCTAGAGCTCTAATTTCCAGAAGAAACATTTTAAAATGCAGCTATTAGTGATGATAATATATAATGCAATCAAGGTAATACAATGAAGGTATGTTTGTATGTGATGTGTGTATATGCATTCATATATACATAAACAAAAACATACGTGTTTTCCCTCATTTGTGTAGAAACATGGCCCCTTAAAGTACCTGTGGCTTTACATTTATATAATCCATCTCTATCTGGGGCTTTCAAATAAAATTGGTATTATTTTCCTAAGGTAATCAGTTATGGGGAGGGGAAACAGTACTTCTTAGCTCATTTATATCACTGCCTATGTACTGTTTTAATTATAGATTCTACTTGAGTCTTCCAACATTTGAAAACCACATTTAATCTGTATTCCACTATAATCCAGTTTCATCTTCTGTGGCCTTATTTGTGGAATGCATAAATGGGAGGCTTTTGGTTTCAATGGAAGGAAAAATTTCATTATACACTTTTTTGTTCTTTTGAGTTTTGGTAAAGCACTATTTCAAATGCTTAATATTAAATCTTAAAAGTGAGATATTTCAAAACAAAAACCTGTCCTGAGAAGTTTAGAAATTTCTGATGATTATGAGCCATGACCCTAGAGTGGGGTGACATACCACAGAGCAGGCCAGAGTTTATAGTAGATGTTAAATGTTAACTTGGATTTTTAAGAAATACCACATTTAAGTCCTATGCTAGTTACAATATAAATGTTGGACTCAAAATGGTAATTACTCTTCTATTTTAGAGGTGAAAAACCATATTCCATGGAAATACAGGCCCTTACCTAAGATCTCAGAGGAAAGAAGTGCTCAAGTAAAATTTTACTCAACTCCGTGATTTTGAACGCTCAGGCCAAAGAGAGGTGGGTTCAGTGTTTTGTAACTTAAAAATAATAATAAAAAAAAAAAACTAAATTAATCTTGATCACTTTTTCTATTACCTGAGCATATAAATATCTCTCAGTCAGAATTTCAGCAATTTCACTCTGCTAAATAGTAACCAATAAAATTTAGAGAAACATTTAAGCTGCTTCAGTATGTGTAATATACAGCCTACTGAAATCAGAGACAATGCTCTTAGAATCACGTTTCATTTCTGAATGTGCTATGTTTTAAAATCACATCCTGTCATTTTTTGATCAAGGTCTTTTAGAAGGGTAAACTATAGAGAAAAATGGCCACAATCCAACAACCAGGAAACACATTTTGATAATTTGTTGAGTCAGCAATACTCCATTCTCTCATCCTTGATGATGTGCATAGTATGTCCTGACGAGAAGGTGCCTCAGGGAAGGAATAAAAAGATAAAGGGTGTGCCAGAAGAACCAAAGCGTCTCATAACTCAGTCAGAAAAATCAACTAATCTCCCCCGTCATCTTGAATATGTCAAGCTTGATTCGTCCCTTGAGTTCTTAAGGTAACTGAGCTTTTGGTCAGCCTCCACAGTGATGTCAAAGCTGTACATGGAAGAGCCACAGACTTGGTGGCTGTACATTCTGCTCTGAACAAGTCACCGACGTACAGGGTTCCTCTCATAAAGTCACACCCATTTTCTTTGGCAAAACTGAGCAAAAGGAAAAGCCAGACGGAGCTGGACCTGAGAAATATTTTAAAACCCTTCCTCTGATAACTGCCACCCATCTGCCTAAACGTTGGCCCTTTACTCCCTGGTCAGTAAAATGGGAGAAAATCCCTTGGCTTTGGGGCTATGGCAGCATAGCTTGCTGTTTGGGAAGCATTCAGATGAGCAATGAGGATGTGAGAATTCAGAAAAAGTGGGTTCTTACTGTGGTAGTCAGTGGGAAGTCAGGGTGGAGGTTAAACATTTCACTAAATGGTGTCTTGTATGCCAGCTGGCAAGAGAGTTTTGGGGGATGAAATGACACCCATAGAGGGTTTTTCTTTAAACAGAAGGAATCTTCAGATACTTTCATGTTGTCAGAAGCTGATGATTGAATGTGGCCAGGTAGACCCTGGTATACATAACTGCAAGAATCGGATATTAATGATACAGTTATTCTCTGTTCGGGGGTGTCATATATTCCACATTTATAAAAACCACTATCATGTATCTTGGATGTGATGATAAGCCCTTTCTTTTCTCGCAGTATTTCCTTTTAGTCTCACAAGAACTTCAGAAGCAAATTAGGATCCCTGTTGTCAAGGGGGTGTATCTCAGGATAAAGAACATTCTCAAAGCACACATCCAATCAGTAGAAAAGTGAAATTCAAACCCAGGTTAATAAAACACATTTTAAAGACTCAGAATTTTAGCATGCAGCATGATAGGAACCACTTTTGCTTCTTTGCAGTATGTTAGTGACAGAACATTTCTCAAAAACTTAAAACACTATCGTGTATACTGATCAGTGATTCTCCCATATAGTGAGTGGCTCGAAACTCTTAACTTGGATCACATTAAGATTGAAAGTAGGTATGTCTCCAAAAGCACAAAAATACTAATTCAAAAGGAAACTTGCATTTTTATGTTTATAACAGCTCTATTTACAAATAGACAAGTTATGGAAACAACCTAATGCCCCAGAAGAGATGAATGGATCAAGAAGATGTGGAATATATACACAATGGAATACTACTCAGCAGTCAAAAATGATGAACTTGTGTCATTTGTGGCTACAAGGATGGAACTGGAAGGGATTGTGCTAAGTGAAGTGAGCCAGAAGGAGAAAGATAAACACCGGACGGTTTCACTTATATGTGGGATCTAGAGAAACTAAACAAAGATTCAGACAAATTTTAAGACTGACCCTTGAAAGCAGATCATAGATTTGAGACACTCAGGAGGGGAGGAGGAGAGGGAGAGATAGGACAGAGGAGAGAAGGAGAGAGGAGAGTATGGTGGAGGCCTCTGTGCACTATGGTGATAGGGAAAGTCTGATGAATGCACTTGAGGGGAGAAATCCTATATTGAAAAAAAATAAGAACAAGGATTTTTTTAATTATTTATTTCAAAAAAATACTAAAGTTTCTGGGTTCTTCTG